TGTGAGACTGCTTCAGCCCTAAAATAAGGCTTGAGGCCAAGTGCTTGTGCCTATTTTGTTGTTTTGGCTTCCTTTTTTTGAGGGGGGGGGGCAATTAAAAGAACAGCAGTTCTTTCTCGAACAAATGAGGGGCATCCACCCTTACCCCGAAAATGTCGCCCAAGACGATGTTCCTCTTGAAGTCCATGCTAATTTTCAGGGGAGCACCAGAGTGGGGGATCGCCCTTTGCCCCCCTCCCCCCTTCTTTTAAGAACTCGCTCGGGCAATTGTTCCGAGAAACGGGAGTTTCTGGCGAATCAATCCAGAGCCGCCCATGTTAATGAGGTGAGGGCTTTCCCGCAAAGAGGACCCCGGTGCCGCTCAAGGGCTGCTTTGGAAAGGGGTGGCACAAAGGGCAACGCTACTTTTCACAGCCCGATGGACTCGGTGATGAAAATCTTTGGGTTTCAATGAAGATCTTTCAGTTCTCATGCGGCTCTTTGGGGATTTTTTTGGTTTTCATGGGGTATTTGCGTGTCCCGCTTTTCAGCGCTGGACTCGGCTTCCCATGGTTTTCTCGCACTTTGCCTTGGGGTTTGAGTTATCGAGACGTTGCGGGCGGGATCCGCGGACCCGCGCGAGGCCAAGAAGGCCAAGGCGCTGACGCGGGCCCAGGAGGCCGCCCTGGTGGAGGGCCTGATCCAGGCGCGGGCGGACGGCCGGAGAGGTCACATGGCCATGGATGGCATGACCTGAGCCGATCCCATTTTGGGGTGGGTGATTATGCATTTGCCACGTATTTTGAGGTTCAGGAGGGGTGCAGGGAAATGAGACCCACAGCCACATAGGTGTCCTTTTTTGTGGTTTTGGTGGAACAATACTGTGGGACGAAATCCTGCATCACCTAAGACACCCCGGAGTGATGATTCCGCTGTTAAATGCCAATGTGCAGGATTTCGTCCATCCACCGTAGGTGGCGATTCCTGGCTTGCCTGGTGTCTTAATCATCGACCAGGGCCATCTCTTTCCCCTAAAAGGACGCCTATGAGCATGGAATGACCCCAGATGACTCGACGGGGCACCGCCAGAACTGAGGAAGCCCAACGGTTGCTTCGATGCCCCAACCGTAAATAATGTGAACCCCGGATTAAGCAGAACCCCTGGTTGAGTTTGATCGGGTGTCCCCTTTTAGTGGGGATTCAGACCACTTTTGGAGGGGTTTCCACCCCCCGAATAGTGGGACGGGTTTATTAATCCTGGGTCAACATTACCAACAAACGTTGTGGGTTCTGCTTGATGGTTCAAAGTGGTTTGTCGATAGGACTTCGGTCGCACGTGAGTCAAATGAGGTTCTTGTGTCGCAAGTGAGTGCTTTGCCTTGTGAATAGGGGAGTGGGGGGTACGGGTGGTCTGATTCCAACCACATGGTTTTTAGTGGCAAGCAACAGGTTTTCTTGCTTGCTTCTTCTTGGACACGCCACTCAGGTGGGCTCCCCAGAAGCGAACATACCGAAGGAACTGGTCCAAAAGGCCATGTTCCTTGCTGGTGACCGGTTGGTTCTTTCCGTTTGGGGGGAGGCTGCTGAGGAGCAAAGGGACCACCATTTTCGGAACCCCCAAGTTATCCATAAGCATGGGAAGCTGATGAAAGAAATCTCTGCCCGAAGCGTTGCCGTTTGGAGCATGGCAGGGTTCCGGAACTTTCTAGGGGGGTCCGGGCTGTTGGGATACCACCTAGACGCATTGGGGTGCAGTTGGGTGAATGATGGCGAATTCAATTCACCTCCCTTTTTGGGAGATCCCCTACCTGTGTTGCGCTTTACGCCATCCTTACTGACCCAACACATTTTGGACGTCGCGGCATCACTCTACCCTACTCGTGTTGCACTTTGCAGAGAAGACTGTTTCGCATGGCGGGGGCAGCTCGGAACCCGGAAGCTCGTTTGGCTCCCCCCCTTCTTTTTCGGACAAATGTTTTCTTCTTTTTTTTTTGGGGGGGTGGGGGTGACGACTTGCCCACGGTTTGTCGCGACCAAAATCTCCGGCCGGGCTTCGTGCCCGACGTCTCCGGCAGGGCGCGCCTGGAATTGCAGCTCCGCAGCCTCTGCCCCTGAGCGCGCTCACCAAGCACAAGGTGAGATGGGAGCTGTGTCTAGGCGGCCCAAAAAATGGACTTGACAGGTTTTCCTGTTGTTTTAGCTTCCCTGGAGAACTCGCTTCCCAAGCTCAGCTGGGCTTGAGTGAAAGTGGGGGAATCTTACTGACCCTCAAGGGAAGCCACCCTTGCCATTGAGGAAAAGGACCGCTGTATGTGAGATACAACCATGTAGCTCAAAATTCAGGGCCCACAAAACTGCATATTTTTCGGTTGCTTTCTACAAACAGGGGTTGGGGGCCTCTTCCGAAAGGGGCAGGGCACCCTAGGCCCACATGGACTGGAGTTCCCTCAGCGCTGTGTTTTCTGATGGTTGCATTCATTTTCGGGCTTTTTCTTGGGCCAAAGGCACGCCCACCATTTTTGGGGTGTACCAAACATGGACCAAACAAAAAGAGCCAAAAGACAACAACAACAAACACCCCACGGCCCCGCCCCCAGTGCCCGCCCCGCGCGCGTGCCGCCGGCCAGCGTGGCAGGGCGTGGCTTGGCAGTGGCTGGAGGGAGGCCTGGAAACTGCGCCGAGCGCGCGGGCGGAAGCCTCGACTCGCGAGGCCGCATGCAGTACCCCATCCCCATCGGCTGCAAGAGGCGGGAAGGACGGGAAGGCGCTGTTTTTTCTTCAGGGCAAGGGCTCCCAAGGCCCCACTCCTCCTTTTTTTTTGATTTGGCTTTCGTGCGCCTCATGATTCTAGGTGTGTTCCCATCCTCTCTGGGTTCCGGAATGAACGTGCCAGCCCTTCAAAAACGAGCAGATCCCTGCTACGGTTTCGTAGCCCGGGTCCCTAGGCTAGGCGTACCGGGCGCCTGAGGCCACTGTCTCCCTTCAACAGCGATGACTAGGCGACACGGCGAGGTGCTGCTTGGACCATGGGGTTTCCTCACCCTGTCAATCGGTTGGGCCTTTTTGGGGCGGGTCCGCTTCGACCATTGGGGGGGGGTTGAGTCCAGTTTGATCTTCGGTCTTGGCTGCCTACATGAGCTGCGCTCCCGCGAAGCGCGTCAGCGGGGCCGCGGCGGGTTTCCCACCGGGTTTCACCCCTCGCCCCCAAAGCGGCGGCAGAAGCCCGCGTGCGCGAGCACGCGCGCGAGCACGCCATTGGTTGCGGGGGAAAAGCCATGCCAGCAGCGTATGGCGCACTCCTGATGCGAGGTCCGGGCAAACATTTCTAGCCACCCATGGTCCCTTTGGATTGGACATGGGGCAGTGGCTCAGTAAAGTTTCCACAAATCCAGGGGCCGAACCAGGATCCTTTTTCCATGTCCCGGGACACGGTCTTGGCCATCTCGGGGCCACGCCTGTACCCCACGGCCTGGCTCAAGGCCAAAGTTGCGCAAAGGCGGCAACTCTCCTTCTCTTTTTTGTTTTCCTCAATTCTTTCTCCACTTGTTTTTGTTCTTTTCTCTTCTCCTTTTTTTCTTCCCTCTCCTGTGGGCAAAGCAACTACCCTTTCTTGCTACCATACCGTTTGGGTCGGGCAGTTTCAAAGCAATCTGGTGACGCCGTGGCACTTTCGATGGGTTCCGATCAGAAGTCGTTTCCTCCGCGCCGCGCCGATTCGTCGCCTGCTTGAGCGCGGGGGAAGTGAAGCCGTAAACCCAAACCAACCGGAAGCCAACCCTAAACCAGCCTAAGCCAAGCCCAAAACTCTACTGCTATTGGGTTGGATCTTTAGACTTTAACTTGTTGGATTCCCCTCATTCGCAAAAAAGGGATCTACAGACTTTAGACTTTCGACTTTTTTGGTGCAGATCCCTTTTTGGATCCCTTGGATCTGACTTTAACCAGCAAAAAGGGATCTACAGCACCCAAGGAACCGCCAGAAGCCCACAGCCTGAGTCCTTGTCGACCCATGGCGCTGGCCCCGCGCGAAGATTCGCGCGGATTCGAGACGCGGATGCTTCCGAGAGCAAAAGGTCGAAGCGGCTGCCTGGGGAGAACCCTCCAAGAGCTTTTTGGGGTGAGAACTTTGAGTTTTTTTTTTTTTTTTTTTTTGGGGGAAAGGGCAGAACCAATGGGGGGCTTTGGTTTTCAGACTTTGCTGACCGCCAGGTGCCTCTTTTTCTCCCTGGCCTTTCGTTTCTCGCGGTCAGAGGGTTGTGGGTTCGGCCGGTTGCGCCACGTCTCGGCGTGGCTGAAGACGTGCCAACTGATCGCCCGCATCGCGAGGTACCTCCGGCCAAGGCCTTTGGCGCGAGATCGGCACGAATCCACGAGCTCCGCCGGCGGGATGGTGGGCACCGCTGGTTTCCTTTTGGTCTTTGGTTTCCCTTGAAACGAATCAAAAGGCTAGACTCCTAGACCTTTGGATGTGGCGGGGTGGGTCTTTTCGCACCTTTCGCGGGGTGGGTCCTAGCGGGCTCAAGTCTTTTTCCCTGGTTTGCTGCCATGGCTGGTTGGGACAGGTATGGCGAGGAGAAGAAGTACAGAAAAGATGTGGCTATGAATGACAATCCAAAGCACGTAGGTGAGCCTTTGAGAAAACTGACCTTAGAAGATAGGTTGGAACTGCGGCGCCAGACGCGAGAGCGCGAGAAGAAGAGGGCAGTGCTCGCCGCCGAGATCGACGAGGAGGGCGAAGGGGATGAGCCCGTTTTGGCGAAGTGTGCCAAGGTTAGTGATAGCAAGGAGGCGGACCTCGACATCGTTGTGCCGCCCACCAAGTCCAAGGCCAAGGAAGTGGTCGACCTCGCCGAGGAGGACGGAAAGCGCGCCGCCGCCATCCGAAGACGGCGGCGGGCCATGAAGGCGAAAAAGGCCACGCCCGAAGCGCACCCGGAGGTGGAGGTCCTGGAGTAGTGCCTCGGCCTCGGCTCATCGCGAGCTGAGAGGAAAGCGCGAGCGAAGCGTTTAGCTTTGCTTGGGGCCAAGAGGGCGAAGAGGGCATCTAGAAACCAGCTGTTAACTGGACAGCTGAGTAGGGCTGAGAAATTATGGCTTTCACCCAAGCACAAGAAGCTCGGCACGAGCTTGGCAAGAGAAAAATCAGAAAACATGTGCGATGGATCCAGTCCTGGGCTTGCGAGGGGAGCGAGTCCGAACTTCTTTCTTTTCTTCGCCAGGGCCCTTTCGGGTCTAGTTTAGATGTAAGGAATGCTGCAAAAACACAACTTGTATCCTTCCTGACTTCGTCAACTATTTCTCCAAGTCCGTTGGTGGAATCGGTCTCCGCGCTACATCAGCAGACCTGCGCGAAGCGCTATGGCTCGGGGCTGGGCGGGGCCGCTCCCCGCCCATGGGGTGCGAGGCCGCAGGCGGGGCTCTCTTTTTTTCTTCTTTTTATTTAAGAAATAAATAACTATATATATATATATATATATACATATTTATACATAAAAACTATACATATATTTCAGGTGAACGTCCTCAAATCCCCGGGTAGATGAAGCTTAGCCAGGGATAGACCACAAGGCGGGGGGCCTTTTGTAATTCTTTTGCATGGGTCTGGGTAGGCTGATTTAATACCAGGGTGTGATTATGGCAGAGGGCTGGTGGCTTGGATTTGAATGTGGGCACCTTTTGTTTGATCCTTGGACGACTTGAAGAGCAAAGCCAAGGTCAGAAAGGCTTTGCAAGGTTTAAACAAAGCCTCCCCAATTGAATTTGACCTCCTGGTTCTTGAAGAGGGTACATGGGAGTCCACTTGGTAGCCTCCAAACCACCAAACCAAGGAAGCTGATCTTTTGTCGCGAGCTGCTATGCGCAGGCCCTGACCGCACTGTTCCCATGTGGCACGGAGCGCGGTATGGAGGACCGGTTCAGTCGACCGGAGGAGCGCGGTTTGGAAGGGAGAGGAGCCAAGGCAATTGGGGGTATCCAAACTTGGTTTTAAAGAGTTTTGACCAAGCAGGTTTGTTTGGCTCCCAATTTTTGCAACGCGTGCCCAACCATGCTCACCACCGTTGCGACATTTTTCACCGAAGCGTTCTTGTCATGACTGCGCCTCTCGCAGGAAACTTTGGCTATGGCATGACCCCCGGCTTTGCGAGGAATAGCCGAGGACATTTGCCGCTTGGCATCCATTGGCTTCTGAGAACGGCTGAAGACTCAGTCTCTGGGCTTCTTGGCTTCGGCTCTTGCAGCAGGAATTGCAAGAGCCACTTGACGATCAACTCGGTAAGGTGCAGGACACTTGCCATTGATGTGAACACCTAAGCTGTTTGACACGCAATGCTTCCCTGGGGTTCCGAAAGGGGTTCGGGTTGGCAGTTGGCAAGAGGCTTTGAGGGGGAGGCGGGGGGGCACCACTGAGTACTGGCTTTCTGGCTGATGGAATATGAGGGCGCCCGAATCATGCCACCCTCACATTTCACGGAAGGAAGCAACTCCCCGTCAGCATTCCCTCAAGAAGACCCCGTAAAGGCTTGATTGCTATTGGGTTGGATCTGTGGGCGCGGATTAAGCCAAAAGCAACCAAGCTTCGGAGATGGCTCCCATGTCAACCACACACGTTCTCTGAGCGCTTCAAAGCAAAGCCCATTGAGGCGCTCGCTCGTTGTTGGGGCGGCTCCGCCTCTTTGGACCCGCGTGGAGGCTTCATGCCTGCTTTGGTTGGATATGAATTTGTCGTACAATTGGGGGTGCCTTCCCCACAACCCCCCCCCCCCCCCAATTTTCGTGGCGGTCTGCATTTTAGCAAAGCCCCTTAGAGCCAACTAAAAGGGGGTCCCCCAAGAATAAGACACACCCATGGGTGCTCCCTTTTTCTCCAACTTATTTGGAGAGGGTTCCACTTATTACCTCCAAAGCCTTTCTCTCAATGAGTGTCACCGTGCGAGCCATCGTCCTGTTAAACACGTTTTTTTCGCGGCTGGACGCGTTTTTACTTTTAATCGCTGCCGTCCCTCATTGTGGCCTGAGGCCGGGCTGTGTGTGCAAAGGCTGCAGTCCTGCGCTGCAGGACTGCCGTGTTTTTTTTTTAAGGGCCACCCACAAAAGAGAGTGACCGGACCTTAGTGACCCTAGTGGTTGCCTTTTCTGTCATTTTTGTCGGGCCAGCAAGGGAAACCTCGGAAGATCCCCACCCCCTTAAAAATTGAATTGGGGCGGGGATGTTCCCTAGAATTCCATTTGTGGTTCCATTTTCCCTTTGTGGGGAAGACTGGATAAATGGAATTGGGGACCCCCCACCCCCCTCCTCCTGAAGGTAGGGGGGATCTCGGAAGCCGGGAAATTGCTGGTAATTTCGACTGTTTTGTTTCCCCCCCCCCCCCCCGTGCGGGTGTTGTTTATTTTCTCCGCGCCATGGGACTCGGGGGCCCAGACTGCCGAGGACCGGGCATCGACAGGTCACCTGCCAGGACGGCCGGACTGCGCAGAGCCCACCCCCGAAGCCCAGCCCCACCCCACCGGGGACTTAGCAGGCGGGTAGTAAGCCTGGTTACCCGCAAAAGCCATGGTGGTAAGTCTCCGTTCAGTGGGTAAGACATGGTCGTCGTTGGGAAACATGTGTTTTTTTTGCTTATTGTGGTTTAGTGGTTGGAATCCAGCCACTTAACTGCTAAAACTTGACAATTTTTGCTCCCCTTCCAACGTCAACCAAGCCACCTGTAAACCCACGCCCTAAGATAAGCCCTCATTTTTTTGGGGGTTTCTACTCAGGCCAATGAGCCTCAGGTTCAGCGACGGTTTCTATTCTTCCCTCGCCTCCGAAGTTCGTTTCTGGGCCTCGCAAGAAAGCCGCTCGCAGGATGCATCTGCAAGGCTTGCCGCTTCGGCGCCGCTTCGGCGGCCGCCCCGGTCCGGCCGGCAGGCCCAGCCGGGGACCATTGGAGCATTGAAGATTCTGGGTAAGGGTAAGGGGGGGTGAAAATCAACATGCCTCATGGAAAATTGAAAATGCCGGGTAAGGGGGTGAAAGTGAACATGCTTCATGGGAAAACGGCTGGTGATTTCTGGCGGGTGAGAAGGATCGAATCCGTATGGGTCGTGAAAAATCTCCTCTTTGGACCCTGGTGCATCCCTCCATTGAAAGGGATACAGCATTTTGACATGAGCCTGGTTGCTACGCTGCTACTGTCTAAGATGGGTTCCACTACCCTCAAAGCACTACCCCCAGTAAATCTTTATATAGTGGATCTTTTGGTGGTGGTGGTGGTGGAGTATTCCATCAAACTAGTTTCGCGGTGGAAGCCATCTTCGCGAATGATCACCCCATATAAATCAACCCCAATTTCTTAATAAGGGGGTGAACACTTTTCCAAAAGTTTTTGATAACCACATTTCACCCAGAGAAAAGGAAAAAACGAAACCATATTCACCTGGAGTCCAACATGACCGGTGGCTTTTTGCGGCAGAAGCTCCCGCCTTGCCGCCGGCTTCGGCCCTTCGGCCCCTCGGCTCGCCAGGGAAGCCGCCGAGCGGCGGCCACGCGGATCAGCAAGCCGGAGGCCCGAAGTTGGCGGGCGAAATCGACCAAGACGAAGCGCCAGGCGAAGTTCGGCGAGAAAATGTGGCGAAGTTTGGAAGACCACAAGATGCATCAAATGACACAAAGTTTGGAGGTTAAGGACTGGGACAAGGCTCTTTGGAGTTTGGAGGTTTGATTTGTGTAACGTACCTTCTAAGGAGAATACCGTACAAGTAAGGAGCACTGGACAAGCCTACGGAGAGTGCGCCCAAGACCGGTCGCAACTTGGAACATGTCGTAAGGACCCTGCCGAAGGTTTATGCAGGCCAGACCGAAAAAATGATTTTATCTCAGGAAACGCCTATGAAAGAGGGGATGCAACCACAAAAGTCACGGAATTTCAAAGGGGACTCCCCCTAAACAACAAGGGTTTATCAATCCGAAGTTGACGTTATCTTGTAGCGTTGATCTCTGATTAATAAACCCCCCCTCCAGATATTAATGACCAAGAGAGGATTCTCCACTAAGAAGGGATCCCCCAACAACAAGTGGCGGGGGGTGAAAATCAGAGGTCAAAAACGACTCTCGGACCCGTTCGCAGGCGAGGAATCCCCGCGCTCGGAGCTTGAGGTTCCGTCGGTGCAGGTGCTGCAGGCCCTGGACAAGGCGATAATTTCATGGGGTGAGGGCGACGCAACATGGATCAAAACAAAAGAGGGGACATGCTGCAAAATACATGTGGATTTCGGATTAGTTGACCTTAGTTTATGAATGTTCCCCTCCAAGAGTAATGACTCCCCACTAAACCCAGGGACACCCACTTATTCATAAGCTAGGGTCGGTTAATATGGGGTCAACATTGCAGCACTGAACAAGAGACAAGCAACTCATGAATTGAATTTTGACACTTGCGAAAGCTAGATTTAGAGGTTGACCAAGATGTCCTTTGGATGGGATGACCCATTGGGCAAAACTTTCCCACACACCCTTGATAAACATCAGCAAGCACATGTTATGTTTCCTACTGAGCCTCTTGAGAACATGGAAGGCCAACAGTTCATCTCAGTGCTTTAGTGGCAAGTGGATGTGACAATTTGATTCACCGAAATACTTGGACCATTTTTCAGAGCGCCCACCATTTGTGAGAGGGAACCCCCCTGTTCAAACTCGCGGCTAGATGGGGGGAGGGGGGGACACGGACCAGTAACTGGGGAATCCTGTCTTCATGTTGGCTTTGGGCAAGCCACAGGGAAAGCGCTCATTAGCGAACAACAAACAAGTTGTGTTTTGTTCATGGATAGGATTCCTGGCTGGTTGTAGGCAAGGGGCCAAGGAGCTGGGGCTAGCACTAACGACAGTCCCAGTTCGATTTGAGGTATTTGCGCAGGGAATCTGAAAGCCGTCGGACTGACAAGAGCGCGTTGCCGGGGTCAAGAACCAATACTTTGAAGGCAGACCCACTCAAACCCGGTTTTGCCCACTGGGAAAGGGATATCACCAACTCCGACCAAAGGAACGAAGTGGCATTCCATGAAATTCCCGAGCGACACAATATGACACAATTTCGGATCCTCCCTCAAGATGGTGGCAAATCAGTTGCAAGGATGGGTTTCCAGGAAAACCAAACAGAAACACGCCACAAACCACTTTTTCCATCGTTCTCTTTCCTTTCCCGCTTCTCCTCTTGCTCACTTACCCACCAACCATGGGATCCTTTCAGTGGCAAGATGGTCTCGCAACAGAGCTGTTGCGAGATCATTCCCCGCAAACAGAATGGCGAAATCGATGGTCATGAGCTTGAGGGCTGTTGGTGTGACCATTCCCTGAAAAAAAAGGGACCCTTTTCAAAGCTGGGAAAAAAAAGACATGCCCCAATTACTCCTTTTAGGGAACCATGCCCCAAGTGCTCCTAGGTGGCAAGATGGTCATAAGAGCTGTTGCGAGACCATTCCCTGGAAACCCAAAATTGCAACTCGGCTCGAAGAGCGGAGGTTTCATGGCCAAATCGAGCGCGAATCGAGCGCCAGGAGCTGGCGCGGGGAGCCGGGCCTGAGGCGCCCAAGGCGCCTAGGCCGGCGCCGGCCGAGGCCAGGGGCGTGGGGCGAGGGGTCCCCATGGCTTTGAGTCCTGGGCATCTTCTCTCAGTTTTTACGAGTTCCCGTGCCTCCGGGGCGAGTTTTTTCAAGTTCAGTTTCCGTTTCTTGAAGGAGTTTTGCTTCAGATGAGCTGTGACTTGACGAACGAAGCCGGTGCAGAAGTCAGAACTTCCACCCCACCAAGTCTTGTTGGCCATTCTCCCTTCGAAGGCTTGTTATTACGTCGCCAAACACATGGGTGCGTCTTTCTTTGTGAGGGGCTTTGCCTTTTTTTTTTTGGGGGGGTTTGGGGCAAAGGTAACACCAAAGGGAAATTAATCACTTTGGGCTTAGGCGCTTTGCCACATCATGATCAGGTGATCAGCCTGAAGGATGTCCTCAGTGAAGCCTTCAGACCCAAGGCCCTTTCGGCTGGATTCAGATGGCCGCTGGGTTCGCGTGGCTCCTCTTTTGGACCACTCACTCCATGTTCGGTTTCCAATTAAAACAAAAACGCCAGCCCAAAAGGGCCGGGGGGGGGGGGCCACACACACACACACACATATATATATATATTTATATACACATCTACATGATACACATACTGGGATATTTCGAGTTGTTCTTGTGAATATGCAATACAACCCAGGATTTGGTTTTCCCTCTTGGGAAAATGAACCTTTGGTTTTAAGTCTGCCTGCAAACGCCGCGATCCCAACGCCACCCAAGCCTTAAGAAATGACGCACCACCCACTTCCCATCCATTTCCAAGAAATGGATTCCAAGCCCAACTTTGTCTTTGGTGCATTTTGCTTGGATGTTAGGACTTCTAAACTTGTTGCCAACTAGTCTGTTTTCAGTATTAAACCACTAAATGTTAGTCACTTTTAGCAGGGGAGCAGAAAGCAACCGAGTTGTCCCTGTGGGTCAGATCGTCGGATCCAGGATCTGGAGGAAGCGCAGCCGCGGGCGAACGAGGGCTTCGCGGCATGCGAAAGAGGGCGTGGTTTGATCAGAGCCCGTTTTGGGGGTTGGCCTAAAGGGAAAACCAATCAGACGCCACCCTTTCAGTGGCTCCCCTTTGAGACAAACCCATTTTCAGAAGCGGTAGCGGGGCCAAGGGTCGTTTCAATGGCCTGGGATCCGACGCTTCCCAGAGGTCTGAATGCACAAGGATTCGATGTGGGTATGGCTCCAAAAACTGGTACCAAAATGGAACCCTGGTAAGTGCAAACATGGACCAAAACCTGCGTAGCCCTAGCTCTTTGAATTTGAGCCACTGCCATATGGAAACCCGGAATGGGGTGGAACAAGAGAGTGCAATTTTCCAAGCGTGCGGCATTTTTTGGAGCCGTGGAGGTTTGCAAGGTATCAGTTGAGGGGTTTTTCTGGGGTTGCCCCGTGACAGGGACAATGGGGGCCCCTCAGCCCTTACCTGTGAGCCTCACGTCCCTGGCAGGTAAACACGCGATCGATCAGACTGCCAGTGGTTTTCATGTATCAGCATAGTATGTGTGGGAGTGCGCCTGGAAGATCAATTTCCTCTTCAAGGGATCCCCTTCCAGGCGCCAGGTTGGCAGTTTTGAGCCCGCGGTAATTTTCTTGTTCGCCGTTCGCTGTGCCCTTTCCACCCATGGAATTCAACCAGGCAGCAGCCCACCCTCCCTTTCGGCTTGCGGCGAGCCGAGGCGAGAGAGTTGGCGGCGCCCGGCTCGGCGCTCGCCCCGGGAGGGCCGAGACCACGCTGGACGCGGCGTCGCTGCACGCCTACGCCGAGCTGCAGGCGGCGCTCGGCGAGGCCGCGGGCCCGTCGGCCAGCGTGACGTCGACGGAGGAGGCGGCCCCTCGGATGGCCAGGGGCATCCGACAGCAACACGAAATGCTACGGTGGATGGTTGCGACATCCATTTCGCACCACGGGAAGCCACTGTTTGTTGGCATTTACAGGTGAATCATCACTCCAGGGTTTCTTAGGTGGTGCGAAATGGGTTTCGCAACCATCCACAGTAGGTTGCAGTCTCCCAACATGGCACCTCCCGGGTCCTTCCACATGCAAACTGATCTTCCAGGTGCCCTTCCACAGGTGGGAGGAAGGGTGATCTCAAAAGGTGGTCTTCCAAAACAGCGATTTTACCCACTAGAATGGGGCCAATGGGGACACTAATGTGGGCCTGGATCTCAATGTCTGCCGCCATGTGCCTAGCACGTGGCACATCCTTGTTTGGTGGGACCCTTATGGCACATGGCCTCCGGTTCGAATCAGCCGGCCAGGGAATGGAGGTTTGGTCTACTGTGTTTACACATAAACATAAACCTAGGAGAGGCTTATGAGGGCGTTTGGACCACTTAACCACTTTGCTGCAAAACGGACCGTATACGTCTTCACGCCAGTGGCAAGGGGGGTGCCTCTGCAACGTTGTTCATGGTACCACCTGAAAAGTGGTTGGTGGAATTGAATTCCCTACATGATATCCACCAAGGGGTCCAGCTTTGGCCCCTGAATATCTCTGGGTGTTCTTTTTTTGGCCCTGCAGACTCGTTGCTTAGCCTCAAAATGCATCTTCTGCCTTTCTGCATGTACATCCTAGACACAACTTGATCCACGTGGACATCCGAATGCATGCAAAAAACACATGTTTAACAACGCAAGTCATAAACGTCATGTTGCTTCAAATGCCCCTCCCACCAACAAACATGGAAGTGCAGAGGCCCCTGTAGAAAAGACGACTTTCCTCTTTTGAAATGGGCACTTCCATTTTAGTTGGTGGGAGGGGGAACAACATATCCACAAGCAAATGGAAGTAGCTGGTGGGCTCTTTGTGGCCTGTGCCCCACAATTGGTTTCTTGCAAGCAGCGAATCGGGAGGTCCGGCTTTGGCCCCGCTTGCCGAGGCTCCGGCGCCGAAGCCGGTTCTGCAGAAGGACCTCGCTTCGGAGGCCATTTCCGCAAATGGAGGGGGGGGAAGCGAGCGCCGGGTCGAAAAGCGGGTGAAGGGGGCAGAGTCGACGGGATGGGCGGGTTGGCAATGGCTGGGGGTTCGGGTTCGGGTTCGGAGGCGGCAATTTCTCCCTTGAGTGGTCGAGAGGTGGGGCTGGAGGGTGGGTGGGTTGTGGTTGAATGAGGCAGGCTGAGAAGCCCTTCATTGGTTGGATTGGTTGGGGCCTCGTTTTGGTTGTGGCTGGAAGAGGTTGGTTGGGCTGGTTGTGGTGACTGGCTGAGTTTGAAACGAACAGCCGTCCCAACCTCAAGGTTTGTCGTTTACAGCGATGGATTCTAGGTTTCCCACCAGGTTTTCGGACCCGAATGGGGGCTTCTTGGGCGTTTCGGAGTAGGCTTGCCTTTTTGGTGTGTGTGTGTATGGTGTTTCTTTTTTGGTTTCTCAGGGAAACGAAACCCCACACGTCAGACCATTGCAGGGTTTTTGTGGGTATCTCTCTTCTTTTTGCGGAGTGAGTGGGTCAGGCTGGCGGCCGGGCGGGTGGGGCTTTCGCGCAGGTCGCCGCCTTCGCAGCGTCGCTGGGTTTGGATGGCCCCACGCAGGCGGCCGGCCTCGCCGGGGCGAAAAAGCTTTCCGGTTTGGTTGAGGCGTCGGTGGGAGTTCAAGGTGGGCGTTTGTTGCTTTGAGTAGGCGTGAGTTTTTTTGGCTTGTCTTTTTTAAGCTTCAAGATTTGAAGTTTGTGACAGTTCCCTGACGCCCGCGCTTTTTTGTTCTTCTTCTTTCTTTCCCTCCAGTTCTGGCAAGGAAGCCGGCCCAATGGCTGGAGTTCATGGAAGAGGAGAGCTCCAGATTTCGTGACCCCCCCCGTCACTTCCGGGGAGCCGCCTACCCCCCCGACCGATTCCGAGTCACGGAGTCACGGTGGAGCTTCGCAGGGGAAGGTCCTGGAGCTGCTGTCGCCCGCGGGCCCCGAGCGGGGCCTGGAGGAGCTGCAGAAGATCCAGGCGGCGCTGACCCGGGCGAGCCGCTCGGATGGACACAGCCGTGGTGGTCAAAACCTGTGGGATCCCATTGTGGGGTAGGTGCACCTAAGGCGTTTCACCCATTTTTGCAACATCCCGGCTTGAAATCTCAGATAGCTCAGATTGCCGTGGGTGAAGACCGTTTTGGGATCCCATTTTGGTTCGTAGGTGAAATTCACCACCCGGGGTTTTGATCCATAGCCAAGTGGGGGAAGTTCTTTTTACTAGGTCTGCCAGCTAGGTGCCCTTTCTCTACCCCTTTTTTTGGGCGGGAGGGGAACCCGCTACTAAAATAGGCTACAGAAAGACAATTGGGCACCCTTATAACCTCTCTACCGGAGGACCTAGTCAAAATACAGATGCCCGCCAAAAAGGGGGGGGGGTTCGTCTGGTCCCTGGCCAAGCTGACAAGGGTGCCCTCTCAAGACGCCCAAGATCCCACCATTTGTACCAGTCCCAGTTGGGGATGACCGTGTCCCGGATTTCGCCCTCATCCCTTGACCTCCCGAGAGCCCAGAACTCCTGCCTCATCCACCGGACCTTCAGGCAGGGTTTTCCCGTGGAGCTTAAGGAAGGCGGCAGCCCAGGCTTGGCCGCCGTTTTTTTCCGCCGGCTCCTTGCTTGAAGCTTTTCCCGAGAGGTAAGGCGCCCGTGGAGCTGGGCTTGGGGCTTTTCTTCGGGATTTTCGCTGGGCCCAGGAAATCCGATCGGCTTCTTGAAGATCAAGCTGGACGACCTCGAGCGCGCCCAGGATGCGGGGAGGGGACTGGGCGGGTAGGTCGCCTTCGGCGGCTTGGGGGGCGCTTTCTGGAAGCCGCAGCTTGGGGGGGTGGGACTTGGTCCGGGAATCCAAGCCAGGGTTGTGGGATCACAAGGGGCTTGTCCCCACTTCTGGAGGGAATCTCCACTGGAAAGTCGGGGGTTGGTCTGTGGGAAGGTTTCTTTGTTGTATCGAAGAAGTGGACTCCACTGTCCCGCAGCCCTGATCCAAGCGCACGCGGGCGTTTTGGTTGGAGGCTCGGCACAGCCTGTCAGCTTGTGTCAGGACAGCCCCGCTCGGAAGATCCAATGCTTCCACTGGAAGCAGGGCACCTGCAGATATGGGGAGAGGTGCAAGCACTTTGGCGGATCCGGAGGGTTTCCTTCCATTTGCAGAACTCCTTTAGTTGTATTTTCTCTCTTGGCTTTGAGGGGAATCGATTTCACTGGATCTCTTTATATATTTCTTTTCTCCAGGGGGCAGAAACCAGTAGCAGTTGGAGAGGTTTCCCCAGGGCCAGGGCGGCTCGGCTTCCGCTTCGGCTTCCGCTTCGGCTTCGGCTTCGCGCATTTTGGCCAACCTAGGGAGTGTGGTTGCAAAACAAGCCCAGGCTTTGGTTTTCCCAGGGCACCGGGGTCGGACTCACTACCTCAGGGCCCTGATCTGGGTGTGGGTCAGAATGAAACCACGAGAAAACCGCAGGTTTTGGTCTTTGTTTCCATTTGCCAGGGTTCCATTTGGGGTACCTATTCTTGACCCACCGCCATCTCTCGCACACCCGAGGTATGCCCACACCATCGTGGCAGGGCTGCAGGTGTCCAGCACCGGCCAGGTGATGGGCCAGGACTTCGGGCCGCCGCCGAATGCAACCAGCGCAGGCGGCGGAGGGGGGGGAGCCAAGCGGGGGTTCTGGGCGAGCAGAGCGGTGTTTTTTGGTGTGGACGGAAGCCCCCGGGGAGTTTCTAAGGTGGTTGACCCCTGATTCTTAGGGGGCAAGTGGGAAACCAGCCTGGAAGACCTTCAAAGCAAACAGGAGGGAAGCTTAAAAGAGGCAAGGAGAGAACATGTAAGAGAACTGGAGTCGCTTCAGGGTCAAAGGGAAAACAAGAGAATTAGCCCAAGTATGCCCCCTGTCTTTTTTTCTCCAGGGTAGCCCTTCTCCCGTTAAACCAACCTGAACTGGAAAACTACAAAAGCGTCATTTGCTAAATCAATCCTTCCTCAGCATCTCGGAAGCTCCAGAGACCTCTCAGGAAACTGGAGCCAACGGCAAGGACTGGTGAGGATTGACCGTCCCATGGCTGTAACCGACTCAAAGCAAGGTGACGTTCAGTTTGGACAGATCCCCGGGGGGTTCGGCCACGGGTTGCGATGGGAGCACCGGCATCCTGTTGCCACGAACCAGGGATGTCCTTTGCCGTGTGAGTGGTTTCATGCTGGTTTCCCGAGGAGCATCAACAACACCAACAAGCACCTTAAGAATCGACCCTCTCATCAGGGCGGCCTGGGCTTGGGCTTTGCCCGACAGCTTCCTTTCACATGGGTGGATTGGGGGGTGAAGCCCCTAATTCCTAAGTTCGTCCCCCCCCCCCCCAAACCAGAAAAAAGACGACGAAAGAAGCCAAGACACATGGCCAGGGCAATGTTCAACCGCCTCTTATGCCACGCAGGCGGAGGCCGCAGATCCCGCAGCAGGTAGCTTGGCCGATGGATCTGCCTTTCATCTTTCTTTCAGACTTCCGTTTTCCGGATTTGGTCCACTTTGGTCATGGCCCCAGTTTTGCACGTTTTCCCTTTTGAGCATCTGGTCGACTTCTACTCGCAAACTCAGTGATGTGTGTGATGTTTCTTTGAGTTCCCGTCTTTTTGGTTGCAAATGAGACCAAGGAGTGCCGACCGCCGGTTTGCGAAAAAGCAAGCGCGCTGATTGCCAAGTTTGCCTGTCGAGGGTGGCAGACATGCGATGGATTTGACGTCAAGGGGTGGGCAAGCTCCCTGGATCAGTGAGCCACGGGTGGTCGCACACCAACATTTAAGCTGCCATAACGGGTTCTTGGCGTTTCGTGCGTTTCTATTGTTTTTTGGTACTCCCTTTCTCTTGCGCACAGATCCGCCCCACAGTCAGGCGTAGTCTCCGCGCAAGCCTCACTCCCTCGTTTTTCTTTGGAACCGCAAGTTGAACCTCGAAAAAAGGCCTCCCCCCCTATACCATTTGGACACATTTCTCCGGAAAGTTGGGCCCAGAGGCCTGGCGTTGCTGTTGCGCGCTGGCGCGCGCCTTGCCAAACGTCTGGGTTTTGCTCGCTCGGCTCAGACACGGCAGGGCTTGTAACGTGTAGGGCACCAAGAGGACGGCTCTTCAGGCGCCATCAGCCATCGACTGGTTCGTTGCTTGGGGTTTCTTGGGCCATTTCAAGAACGACTGCTGTGCGACTTGCGGAAAGCACAGGGTGTGACGGGGTGCGGGGTCCACAATGGGATTTGCCTGGGTATTGGATTCTTGACTTTTGAGGACGTCCCCTTTTGGCGGTTGGATTCACTTTGGAGGGGTTTTCCCCGCAAAAAAAGGGATGGCCTCTACTTCGGTCCGGGCTTCCCAAGTTTTTCCTCGGACCAAGTTCCCGTGCCAGGTGCTAGATTTTGTGTCGGCGCCATGATGGGCCGTGGCCTCGTGGGCTCGTGGGGGGGGGGGGGTGATGAGCGGGCTGTTTGAAGACAAGATGCAGCAGAAACACCATGAACTCGCAAACAGGGTAAGTTTGTGCTGAACCTTCCAGTCTTGCGGCATTCCCCTTTGGAACATGGGGGATGACAAGTGGCCAGTTGCCCCTTTGGTGGGAAAGCAGGAAATGTTGAAAGCCACCCGCGGAATGTTCCGCGCATGGAAAGAAGGGACTGAGGAACGCGCGAGTCCGGTTTTTCCAGCGGTCGCCAGCGTGCGATTTTTGGTCGCAAGGTGCAACGGCCGCGTCTTCTCTAAGCCTTGACTCGCTTATTTTTGTTTTGGGGGGGGGGTTGGAGCTTTGGCCTCGGAACCAGTGGCATTTTGCATCTCGCCGAGTTAAAGAGCGCCAAGCAACAGAGAAGCGATTTCTCCAGCCAGCTTTGCAGGTCCCGCGAGGGATTTTTTTCTTGTGGCTGACGTGCAGGATTCGTTCTGGCGTTAGTTCTGGCCTTGGTTTAGGCTATGATGCAGCTGCCTACCAGCAACTCTACCAGCAGGCGCGGCGCGGGCTGAAATTTGGCCGCCTTTGGAGCAAAATGAGGGCCGCATGGTGCATGGTGCATGGCCTCTCCGGCCCCGGTTTCAGTCCATAGGTTCTATTGGCTTCTCGAGGCGTTCACAATCTAGAGGCGTCCTATCCCTGACGACTTTGTTGATTCCAAACTTCAAGGTGCCATTTTTTTTGCATTTTCTCCTGGAAGGGTTCTGGACGGGTTTCCAGGGTTGCTGATGCCACCTGGTTTTTTGCTTAGGGGGGAGGTTCCCGCATGGAGGACACAGCGCATCCAGGGATCTTGGCTGCAAAATCTCCGTGGCATACGGGGGGAGCCGCCCTTCTTGAGAGCTGTGGGTATTGTCTACAATTTCATTTGATTTGCTGGCCGATTGAGAGTGGAAGAAAGAAACCCGTGGGAGCCTAGTTGGGTGAGAAGGTACGAGCTCGTCCTTTTTTTTCTCCTTCTCCCGACAGGCCGCCCTACAGGCAGCGCAGGACGGAGACGCCTTCGGGTTTGGATTTGGCTGGATCCAGTTCTTGAGGGACGGGTGGATCCGGAGCTGTGAGGGAAGACTTGGGAGCACAGACGCGTCCTTTTTTGGGTGGTTGGGTGGGGAGGAGAAAAAAGGCCCTGGTGTACCTGGCGGTTGAAGCATCTACCAGGGAAACCCATCTCTTTTCCCAAAAGGACACCTATGATTGGGGGGCTGAGGCAGTCAAGGGCTTAACTTGGCCTGGCCTGGCGGCTGGTGCGGGATTTTTCAGCCCTCTTGAGTCTTGCGTGGCTGCAGGCTGCCGGGTATGGCCAGCTCGCTGCTGGGTATGGAGGCGGGATTTCATGGTAACCATGGGTCAAAACCAATGGTAGGTGCACCACCCATTTTAGTCTATTTTACCCATTTCCAAGTACTCTTCAAGAACCCCTCCGTCATGCCATGTTGGTGGGCAGGCAGCTCAAGAGTGGTCAGGTTCGTGGATAGAGCCTCTGCAGGCTTGGCTGCGGTAAGCCAGAGGAAACCACATGTTGGGGAGGGACCCAGCTGCACGTGCCCAAACAGCCGCTCCGCGAGGGCTGAAGCCAGCTGCACAACAAAGATCAGCTTGCACCACTGCACGGCAGGGGATTCAATTGCGAGCAGGGCACGGCGTTGATTGCTCATTTCCGCAAAGGTTCAAAAACTGAAGGGCTCCATCTCAAACAAAATGAAGCAACTTTTGAGATGAATAGGAGGGTGACCCTCAACCAAGCGTACTCCAACCCTGCAGCAGCCCTTCAGCAAGCCCACCCAACCACTCCACAAGGAGCCAACTTAGAACCAACTCCCCCCAACCCCCCCCCCCCCCCACCCAAGACCCAAGGGTTTCACGGAATATGCACAGCCACAATGCATCTCTTCCAACAAAGGGTTTGGATTTGCGCTTTGTGTTGAGTTTTCACCTATTCTCCCCCTGTTGGTTCTGTTTTTACTGGAATCTTTGTCTACTCTTTTTCGATATCCAGGAGTGGTTTTGCCAGGGGTCGCCATGTTTCCCAGCCGTTTCCTAGGCGTCACCGCGGCGGCGCCGGCCGCTGCTGCTGCTGCGGCGCAGGCAGCGCAGGCGGCGCAGGCGGCACAGCCCCAGGCGCAGGTGGAGGCCTCGGATTCGGAAAAGGCCATGGGAGGGGCGGGCCGAAGCTTCCTTTGGCTGAACTGTTTTTTTTTTTTTGGGGGGGGGTTGTTTTTTTCTCCCCTGTGCTTCCTGCTTTTTTTTTTACAGGACTTTTGCTTTTAAAACATCTCCCCTTGAATTCCTTTTTTTTCCCTTTTTTTTTTTAAAGGGAATCACGATTGCTGATTTTCTTCCCCTTAAGTTGCTGGGTGATGACAGGGAAGCACAAAATCACTGCTGCACATATGTTTGTGTTGTTTTAGGCGACTTGTGCAAATGGCCATTCTGGAGGCAGTGGCCCCCGAAGTTCGGCAAGTCCCGTTAAAAACCCCGCCATTTTGCCACGCAGACCGGATCAGAATGACCGGATCAGAAGCCGGTCGAGATCTCTCTGCAAACCTGGGTTCGTGTGTCTTTTCCTGAGCTGGCGCCCTGGCTCGCCGGTTTCGGGCCTTCTTCCCTCTACTGCTATTGGGTTGGATCTTTAGACTTTCACTTTTGGGAGTCCCCTCATATTTCCTTCTAACTGGCAAACAGTTAAACCTTTCGGCATCCAAGTTCCATGGTTCTTGCGGCTCAGTGGGACACTGGGTGCAGGGTGGTGCGGAAGGGCGGGCTCGGGGTTCGAGGCCTATCAGGCGGCAACGGAGGCGCCCCCGGACTGCGTGGGGCAAATCGAGCGGGCCTCGGCACCGATCCGGGAGAGATATTTTGGACCCCGATGCGCCTGCCCGAACTGTGTGCATATGGCGCTGTTTTTCTTTGGCAGATTTGGTTGCGGTTTTTGAAGGGACGTCCCAAGCCACAAAACGACGGACCCACGTGGCAGAAACTCCGTTCAGCTCGAAGCATCAGCCTCCGAGGCGCACATCTCCGTGAGCGGCTGCTCGCATGGGACCGTCGGCGGTGGCTCGGCTGAGAGCCATGCTGCGATTCCAGGGCTCAGGTAAGCATGGAACTGGGGTGGATGACTTGGATCCCTGGAGCCCATTTTTGGTTCCATCCTTGTGTTGTCCCCCATCAAACATCGAGCGGCGCCCGCCTCTCAGCTTACATGGCTCAAAAACCCCCATGGCTTGCGTCCTTCGGCGGTTACCGCCCCCGAGCTTGGGGCACGCAATATTTGCCCCAGCCGCTGTGCGCGCCTGGGCGCGCGCCAGCTCGCGCTATGCGCCGTGGGAGGCACGCCGTGCGTCCGGGTCTCGGTCTGGCCCGGGGCTCATCGAGCTGATCAAGAGCAACCGGGAGGTGGATGTGGAGGCGGCGCTGGGTGCGCCGGTGGACGTGCAGGACAGAGCTGAAATCCAACAAACGTCCTCGGGTTTTCCACCCCTAGTGTAGGTTTGGCCAGGGAAGAAATTGTTAGGGAACTCATCTAAGCCCCTCGGTTCGTTCCTTCCAGAACCTTGCCGGGCCAAGAGGGGTCCTTGAGATCATAAAGCCCTTGATGCACAGGATCCGGCTTGGTCCAGTGATTTTTGTCACCCCCCAAGAAGAATCCTCATTTGCGGGTTCTCACCAAAATGGGAAGACTGCGGAGAGGGCACCCAGGTGTCAGCAAAGGACCTTTTGATCGAAAAAAAAGCCGCGGCGCCCGACCCAGACCTGAGGACATGGACGAGTTCGGGTCCACGCCGCTGATCTTGGCGGCGCAAAGGGACTGGGCCTTTGTGGTGGGGGAGCTGCTGAGGAGCCCTGAGGTGGAGGTGAACCATCAGGCCCAAAGTGTCAAAATGGGGTAGGTCAACCTCAGTTGTTTTTCTTCTTTGACTCGCGGTAAAGCGAGCTGTGTAAACTGAGCATTTTTTTGACAACCCCCAATTTGGCCATGGATGCCTCTAAAAAAAACTCGACTTCGCTCATCCATATATATATATATGTATATAATGCCTCTTCATGAGTCTAATTGTTTGGTTGAAAAACATACACATATATTCTTTCTCGGTGGGCAAGGTGCCCTGCGCTTCTGCAGACGAGACCTTCGATGGCACGAGAGAGAGCGAGAGAGAGAGAGAGAGAGAGACTGGGTCGCATTTGTCGCCGGGGGCCTTTTTTTTTTTTTTTGGGGGGGGCTGAAACACATACGGGTGTGGCTCTAAATTAAACAGGAGGGGCAAACCGCAGGTTTTGGTACCCATGTTTCCACTTGCCGATCGGGATCCATTTTGGACTTCCGTTTTTTTTTTTTGGGGTTGCCACCGCCATACACATATACACATCTGCATAAACTCACTTGCCCAAAAGACCTGGAAACAGAAGGTTAACCTTTTGGGACCTTTTCTGAAAACGGACCAAAATGGGAAACCCAAAAGGTCAAAAGGTCGGCTTTGGGCAAGCGAGTAAATCAT